TGTCATTTTGACTTTGGAGAAGGAAAGTAAAACTCAGGTTAAATGACTTCCTAAAGTAAAGGGCACCCTGTTCAACTTATCCATGAATCTATCACCAGCAAAAGTAAAAAGAGACTCTTATTCATCACTTCCTCCCCAATAGCATACTGTTGATTCTCTATTAACAGACTCAGTTGAAACTGAATAGTCATCTCTTTTAATAGTCAAAACTATTACTACAATTTATAAAGTCTTTCGCCAGGTGGGGGATTTGCCTCAGTGGTTCTGCCGCCTGCCTCCCAAGCTCAAGGGCTCGAGTTCGATCTCCGGTACCAAAAAAATAAAGGGGGTGTGTGTGTGTTGGGATATACTTCAAGACAAAGGCCCTGGGTTAATGTCCTAGTACCAAAAAACAAAAGCTGATCAGAAATTAATTTAACTTTTTCCTATTTTGAATGTATATTTAATTCTCTAATGCGTTGTTTCCAACCAAAATTTTATTAAATAATCTGGTTTTACTCTTGCTGGTGATAGATTCGTGGATACATTGAACAGAAGTCCTTTAACCTCTCTGAGTTTTACTTTCCTTTGCAAGATCAAATGGCAATACTAATATCACAAAATTTTTTAACAATCATATAGATCGACATTAAAAACTCACATCAGAAAAAAAGGGTTGCCAAATCATATAGCTCCCTTTGGCAGGATTTAGGTTTTGTATGCAATAGTGATTTGCCTACATAACGACGTTTATTCCTAAAACAAAATATATTTCTATATACTTATCAATAAATGAGCCCTACAACAACAACAAAGAATATTGGCATATAATGTATAAGAATATGTTCAAGGAATGAAATAAAATAAACGTTTTAACAGTTCCATTGTTAGAGGAATAACATCTCTTTGGCTTAGAACTTGTTTTTTAAAATTTCGAATGACCACTTATGAATGACTGGTATACTCTGTATGTATAACTATAATCTTTTTGTTGTTTTAGTTTACAACTAGCCTTTATTTAACCTCTGCTAACTATCTTGTATGTGTTCCGGTATCTCCTTATGATTTCAAATCTACAGCTTAGGGCAAAAACAACTGTATAACACTAGTACAAAAGTATAATTTTTTAAGTGCTCTTTCATAAAAAATTGCATCTTTTTCTCACCCATGCCACTCCTGCTAAAAATTTAGGCAATAGATTATCACCTTTACCTAAGTACCTTAGTACCAAACATTAGCCATGGCTAGATAATATGATACTAAACAGTCACGGAAACGTAATCTACTTCTACATTCTATACATGTATTTATTATATTATTGTATATAATTGTATACTGTAATCCTTATAATGTTTTTGTGGAGTGCGTGGTTGAACTAGTGTTCTTCCTTGAAACAGCTTCTTTCAAAATAGAGAAAAGTAGGTGAAAAGCAACAGTCATAATATAGCCAGTCTGATACTTCTTTAGACTAAGTATAAACTATTGAAGGTATTAAAAACATTCTATATCTATCCTATATCTTGAAGTAACAGATACTCATTTGTCTAACATTACTCATTATCTCTACTATCAGTAGAGAACATTAGAAACAAAAGCATTAAAAATTCAACCTACGTCACCAAAGACCATGTAACCTTCATTTCTGACCAAAAACCCATAAAATAGTTAACATCTTGTTCTTAGAGAGAGACAATAAACTTCAATGTAAAATGTTTTCATGTACAACTATTTTATGCAAATACCTGTTCTTATTTTTCCTATTAAAAAATCAGATAACTAAAATACCCGTTACATTATTACACTGATTTCTAAGTACTAAATAATTTTAACAGTCAAGTAAAAAAAAAAAACTTTAGTAAATACTTCCTATCATTCTTTCAAAAATCTGATTCACTTAATTCCAATGGTCAGACATTTCAGTAGACAGTGCACTGTATTTGTCAAATTCATAACTCAAATGAGGATTTTAAAAAAATCTACAGGATGAAAGTTTCAAACTACAAATATCTTTCAAAAGGAATAAGAAACACCACAGTCAACTAAGAATTTTAAAAATTACAATATAATTTCACCAAAATATTATCAAATACATTATAAGATGGGAGGGTACACTATATTTTCCACTACCTTTGTAAAACAGATTTAGATAAAATCCTTTAAATGACTATGGTAAAACTTCCAAGGAGATTTTATAAAATAAGTTATCTGCCTTTTAGAAAGCCACAAATTATAACTTGTAAAAACTTCAATTTTAATTGTGGCCTCTTAACTCAGTTTTATTAAGTATGAAATCATAATACCTAAGCTCAGTAAAGAATAATTTTACATAGTAACTTACTGCATATTAACTTATTATGTACAATGTATCATGTAATTTCACATAGTAAAATTATAACATTTGAAGTTGTAGACTACACAAAATTATAAAAACACAGCTTCAATTTTGTAGTTTTTCCAAAAAATCACGTGCAATGTCAAGACCACAGAAATTACACTGCTTGCAATATAATCTACTTTTCACAAACTGCTAACTAGTGCTCTTTCCCTGATTTTTTTCTGTTTTTATGGTTCCATCAAAATAGATAATACTATACTTGTCTTTCAAGAAAAGGTCTTTAAAGAATTATTTCTGACATCAAACACCTATTCCATAACCAAATTCAATTGCCCTCTGTTATCACTTGTTCCAAATCTACAGATTATTTTTTATTACTTCAGCTACATCCTTATTCCTGGCCCTAGACTTTTACTTCTGGACTACTGCACCCCACCATATTCACAAGAAAGCTTCTCCAAATTGTCTTTAATTCTACTGTCAACATTATCTTCTTTCCTATGCCGCCTACCTCTTCTACCTAGGCTTTTGAAGGCCTTTATGTTGCATTTTTATTCTGCTATGGAGCCTCATCCTTGACGACATATTTATAAGGTTATTGCTGACTTTCAACTCACCTTAAAAAATGCCAGTTTCTTCTTGACTCCAGTAAGTATACTGAATTCTCCAGGTAATTACATTTCCTGTTAATCCATCTGAACATGGATTTTTTTTGCATTTAGACCCAAAATACACAGTGAACATATTTAGAAAATTTTTGTACAGTAATTACATACATTGTTTCTTCAATTCTTTGCTTATCAATGTTATCGCCATTGGAGTATACTTACACTAGCTAGCTACAGGCTATATGATAAAAAGCACACCATACAAGACCTAGCTTTGTTACGTGACCAAGGTAAGCTACTTAAGCAAAACTATGAGAAAGCTTAAATTTAAAAATTGTTCCTTTAAAAAATATGTTGTTTAACTTTTAAATATGTACAGGCCTTCATTTCTGGGCAGGGTGACATATTTTGGTTTCCACTAGACTTCACTTTCATTCCTTTATTAATTTTCAAAGCACAGCTAGAATTCACAGTGCAGTAGCAAGTTGTTATGGGGTATACACTTTTACATCCCATGATCAGATTCTGAGAAAATCAGCAGTTTCAACTTTAAGAATTCTGAGATACACTGAATCCTCACATAAGGAAACAGTTTCACCACTAAAAGAGAATAACACATCTGATTTGGGGGAGGAGTTCCCTTCCTCATAATGATTTAGACTACTTTATCTATCTCTGGGGTTTTCTATTAGCAAAATTCAATAAATTGCCCTTAGTGTTAAGGACTGCAAATAATGCCGAGGAAAGGAAATCTGTTTACCTAAAGGAGAGGAAAGGGAGTAGTGGGAATCATCTTTTCATAAAACCGAACAGCTAAATTAGGCATTGCACTCAGTATTCCCTGTAATCTTAGGGATTTTTTTTTCTACCTAATAATAAAAGCAAGTCTCATTCAATTTAGTCCCTTCTCGAGCACCCTCTCAACCTGTCAGAATTTGACAAGGGGGGAAAAAAAAAGAAGTAGGGGAGACACTAGGATTCCCGTCTACATTGCTTTTCTCCGAAATCACATCAGAGACTTGGATTTCCTTCACTCTAAACTAAGCTCTCTGATTCCAAATTTAGTTCTTTAACTCTCGCCTCGCCACTCAATTGCACATAAACCTTGCCAACTACAGAACCACAGCAGAAACCCCTACAAATAGGCTTGCTATTCATCTTGGAAGTCTTGCCCTGCAGCAACTGCCTATCGCCAAACTGAGGGACATTACCCAAATACAACGCAACGGAATCAGACATGCAGAGCACACACGACTTCCGCGAGGGGGGAAACGCAACCCGGGAAAAGTGCGCTCCTCACCAGCCTTGGAACCATCTACCTAGGGGTGGTGGTGGGGGTCCCCAGAAGGAAGGAGAAAGGAGCCAGTCGGGGCAGGGGGATCCTTCCCTCCTGAGTGAAAACGGCTGGATCCGGGCCGCAAGCTGTAGTCTGTCCTCGCTAAGGAAAGGAAAAGGCAAGCACAGGGCCTTTTGCTCTGAAAGGCGGAATGCAGACACTTTGCGAGTTCCGGACGCAAGACGACTCCCCCAGTCCCCGACAGAGCCAGAGGTGTCCCAGGGG